TCCAGGTTCCATGGCCACTCCAAGGAGACAGTCAAACCTACTTGCTGACCAAAGCACCAGACCAGCCTGTTCATGGACTATACATATGGCCTGCCCAGAACTTCCAGATGTGTTCACTGGTAAAGGCCTGTTCTGGGCAAAGACAAAACTGGCACAGACATCAATGTAAGGTAACAAAAGCCAAGGAGATTTAATATCACCAAAAGTACAGAATAATATCCCAATATCTGACCCCAAAGAATTGGAGATATGTGACTTTACCAACAAAGAATTTAAAACAATTGTTCTAAGTAAGCTGAGCAACCTTTAATAGAAAAATAATTAAATGAGATTAGGAAAACAATAAGTAACCAAAATGAGAATCTTAACAGACATTGATATTGGGCTGGGGATACAGCTCAGTTGGTAGAGTGGTTGCCTCACAGACACTGAAATTATATGTGTAATGAATCAAACATGCTGAAGCTGAAAATGCCATGAGCAAAATGAAAAATTCAATAGAAAGTATCATCATCAGAACTGACCCAACAGAAGTAATCACCTTTGAACTCCAAGACAGGTTATTGGAAAACAGAGTCAGATGAGAAAGGGCATGAATGAAAAATAATGAATAAAGATTACAATATTTATGAGATATCATCCAAAGAGCAAATGTTCAAGTCATAAAAGTTCTAGAAAGAGAAGAGAGAAATGGGTAGAAAGCTTATCTGAATAAATAGAAAACTTTTCAAATCTAGGGAAAGACATAAATATGTATGAATAAGAAAGACAAAGAATTTGATAAAATTAAATCCAAATAAGACAATATCAAGATATGTAATTGAACTGTCAAAAATCAAAGACAGTGAGGCTAGAGTTGTGGCTTAGCAGTAGAGTGCTTGCCTCGCACATGTAAGGACTGGGTTTGATCCTCCACACCACATAAAAATAAATAAACAAAGGTATTGTATCCAACTACAACTAAATAAAATAAATTTAAATTAAAAAAAAATCAAAGCGAATCCTGAAAGCAACAATAGAAAAGAAGCAAATAACATATCATGTTTCTCAGCAGAAGCCTTACTTGTCAGCAAAGAGTGAAAGAATATAATCAAAGTGCTGAGGATAAAATAAAACTCAAGAAACAATACTATACCTGGCAGAGTTACCCTTCTGAAATGTAAGACATAAATGCATTTCCAGACTAACAAAAGTTTAGGGAGTTCACCACCAGACCTCTTACCCAAAAACAAAGACAAAAAAGCTAAAAAAAAAGTGCTAAAAGGAGTTGTTCAGGTTGAAAAACTAGATGCTAATTAGTTACACAAACACATATAAAAATATAAAACTCACTTGTTAAAGTAAGTACACAGTCAAATTCAGAATATTCTAATACTTGACAGTGTTGTGCAAATCAGTTACAGCTTCAGTGTGAAGGCTAAAAGACAAAACTATCCAATATAGAAATAGATACAATAATTTGTTAAGGGACATATGATGTGTGTGTGTGCGTGTGTGTGTGTGTGTGTGTACTGTAACACAAATATATAGAAGTGGAATGTGATGGAATAAAAGTGTAGACTTGATGAATGTCATCAAAGTTAGGTTGTTGTCAACTAAAAATTGCCTGTTATAGCTATAAGACATTTAATGTAAGTTTCATGGTAACCCCAAAGCCAAGACTTATAGTAGATACACAAAGAATAAAATGGCAAGGAAAAAAAGTATATCACCTTAGAAATCACCTAATTATAGAGGAAAACAGCAAAAGAGATAGAAAGGAATTAATGGATAAAATTCTCCAATCAAATGATGCAGAGTGGCTGAGTAGGAAAGAAATCAATACTCAGCTACATGCTGCGTGCAAGTGACTCACCTCACCAGTAAGGAAACACGTAGGTTGAAAATGAAAGGATGGGAAAAGTTATTCATTGCAAATGGAAACCAAAAGAGTAGTAGTAGCTATAAGTATATCAAATAAAATAGAACTTACATAAAAAATCTAAACTAAGAAAAAGAAGGTCATTAAATAGTGATAAAAGGGTCAATTTGTCAAGAGTATGGAACAACCTTAAATCTTAAGTTACAATTGTAAACTATGCTTTAGACCAAATGGACCTATTATATATAGAACATTCCATGAAAAAACAACAGAATTCACATTATTCTCAGGAACATATGGAACACTGTCAGGATAGATCATATGTTAGATCAAGAAACTAGACTTAACACATTTAAGAAGATTAAAGTCACATCAAGAAACACTTCTGGTCACAATGGTATGAAACTATAAATCAACAGCAGGAGGAATTTTGGAAAATTCACAAATATGTGAAAATTAAACACCATGCTCCTAAAGAACCAATGGGAAAATGAAGAAATTAAAAGGGAAATTTTTTAAATATTGAAACAAGTCAGGCATTGTGTTGCATTCCTGTAATCCCAGCAACTTTGTAGGTCAAGATGGAAGGATTCTAAGTTTTAGGTCAGCCTCAGCAACTTGGTGAGATTCTATCTCACAAAAAATAAAATAAAAAGGGCTGGATATGTAGCTCAGTGGTAGAGTACCCCTGAGGTCAATCCCCAGTACTAAAAAAGAAAAAAAAGGCAAAATTCATGATTCTATACAGTAACAATGAACTATCCAAAAAAAGAATTCAGAAAACAATCCCATTCACAGAGCATAAAAACAACTTAGAATTAAATTTGATCAAGGAAATGAAAGACCTGTACCCTGAAAACTATAAAGTAATGAAAGAACTTGAAGACTCAGATAAATTCAAAGATATCCTGTGTTCAAGGATTGGAAGATTTGTTAATGTTAAAATGTCTACCAATTCAATGCAATTCCAATGATGATTTCACAGAAATAGAAAAACAATCAAGTCATTTGGAACAACAAAAATAAAAGCAGCAAAAGCAATCTTGTGTAAAATAAACAAAAGTGAAGGCATCTTGCCACTTGACTTCAAAATATAATTCCATGATATAGTAAACAAAACAGCATGGCACTGGCACAAAAACAGACACTAGAGCAGTGGGACAAGTAGCAAGTTCAAATATAAACCCACAAATTTAAGGTCATTTGGATTTTTTAGTGGTGCTGGAGATTGTACCCAGAGTCTTGAGCATGCTAGGCAAACACTCTGCCACTGTCATATATCCTTTGATTTTCAGCAAAAGTGCCAAGAACATAAAATGGGGGAAGATGGTCTCCTCAGTAAATAGTGCAGGGAAAACCAGTGCTATCATATGGGAATGTATCAAGTGTCCTCCAAAGGGTCACTGTGATTAAAGGCTTGGTCTGCAGGGTAGTGCTATTAGGAGATGATGAAACCTTTCAGAGGTGGAGGCTAGTGGAAGGTCCTAGGTCTTTGGAGATGTGAAGTATTTCTCATGTGACCCCCCTGGTATTTCCTGTAAGAGGGTTGTTACAAAAGAAACAAGGCTAGCCCCACCCAACCTTTTTCTCTCTGCTTCTGTTTGAGATGTGACTGTTTTCTCTTACCTGTGCTTTCACTGTGATGTGCTACCATCTCCTGCTTTCACCAGAAGCCAAAACATGGGGCTGCTTGAACCTGGACTTCTAATTTGCAAAACTTTGAGCTAAAGAAACTTCCTTTTTTTATAAGTAGCGTATGTTGGGTATTTTCTTACCATAATGCAAAACTAATAGAGAAAATTGTTTCTGAGAAGTGGGGACAGTATACTATAACTATACTGAAAGAAGTGGAAGAGCCTTTTTGAATTAGTTGATAAGAAGATGTTGGAAGAATTTGGAGGATCAGAATAGAAAGTGTCTGGAATGCTGTGAGCAGAGTGTTATAGATGATTCTGGTGAGGGAACTGAAGATCATAAGCTGATAGAAATGTGGACAGGAAAGGCCATGATAATGAGTTCTCAGATGCAAATGAAGATTCCTTTAGGAATTGTAGAAAAGGTATTCTTTACACTGTGTCAAAAAAGCTGGATGCATTGTGTTCATATTCAAAGTCTTTGTGGAAAGCTAAACCTAATGCTGATAGACTAGTTTATTTGGCAGAGGAAATTTCCAGGCAGCAAAGCATTCAGGCTTCAACATGAGTATTATTGTTCAATTTTAGTTGAGTTTCACAGTGACCAAAAGGAAGCAGAGTGGAAAGATTTAGAAAATTCATGGTATGACTATGGAAGAAGCAAAGAAATTAGGTAAGAATGTAGCCAAGGAGTGGGTGGCTGAACAGTAGTTTGCTAAAAAGAGATTAGTAGGAATGCTAATCAATAGGACCATAGGAAAGATGCTTTGGGGGAATCTTGGAAGTCTTTGGGGCTGCCTCTCACTTTACAGGCCCATCAGAGGCCTATGAGTGCAAATTTGTTTCATAGACCTTCCAGGGAATTATTATTCCATGAAAGAGGTCCAAGGGCCAGCTCAGATTCTGGCCTACCAACAAAGTGTTCCATGGTTTCTGCAGCCATGATTCAAGTGGGCCCAGGTACAACTCATGCTGGAGGTAGAACTTGACATTGTTCACATGGTGGTGATAATGCTGATTTTACAGGTGTGAAGAACACAAGGGGTTTGAGGGCATGACAGCTTTCACCAAGATTTGAAAGGAAAGCCTGGGAATCAAGGTAGTGTCCTACAGGTTGAAGTCCCTGCAGGTAGGCCCTAGTAGGGTGATGCCCTGTACTGCTTGGGAATGAAGATGAAGTGGAGATTACAAGAAGGTAGATGTGCCAACAATGTGCAACACCTATCAGGCAAAACTGCAGGCAGTATGCAAAACCAGCCTTAGAGAGTTTCCATATGGGCTGTGGCCAACAAAGCCACAGAGCCTTGGAGAACTGCTTTCTACTGTAGTGTTCCCAGGATACCAGCATTGAAACTTTAGAATTCAACATTTGACATGCTGCATCTTGCTTTGGGCTAATTCTTACTTTCTGTTTGCCTATTCTTCCCTTTTGGAAGTATAATGTTTACCCTGTGCCACCACTGTATATTGGAAATATATAACTTTTTTTTTTTTTAATTTTACAGGAGTTCACAATTGAAAGAGTTTGCCTTGAGTCTCAGAGGAGACATTGGACTTGGAGTTTTGAGCAATACAGGAATGTAAGACCCTGAGACTCTGGGGAATAGAATTAATACATTTTGCATTGTGAGATAGACATGAGTCCTTGGAGACCAGGAGTGAAATGTTATGGTTTAAATGTGGTTGAGTGTCTGCCAAGAGTCCATTGTGATTGAATACTTGGTCTAAAGGTTGATGCTATTGGGAGATGATGGATCCTTTGGGGGGTTCGGGAGGTCCTTGGGTCACTATGGGCATGGGGTATTTCTCATGCAACCCCATCAATAATTTTCACAAGAGGGTTGTTATAAAAGAAGGAAGCCTGGACTCACCCATTCTCTTTCTCTTTGCTCATGCTTGAGATATGACAGCTGGCTCCTGTATGTATTTATTCCTACCATGATATGCCACCATTTGTAACCTTAACCAGAGGCCAAACTTAATGGGGGTCACACAATCTTGGACTTTGTGCCTCCCTAAATATAAATTAAATAAACCTTTTTTTCTTTATAAAGTTACCTGCCTCAGGTATTCTGTTAATAATGATGAAAATATGACTAATAAAACTGGACATATAAATGTACAGGAATAAAACTGAACACATATCTCTCACTTAGATACAAATATTAATACAAAATTGATCAACAATTTAACAAAGACCTGAAGATTTAAAACAACTTGAAGAAAACATAGGGGAAAAGCTCAATGACATTGATTTTTGGACAACAATTTTTGGATATGAACCCCAAATCACAGGCAACAAACAGGAAAATAGACAAATAGGATTACATCAAATAATAGTTTATACAAAATGAAGATAATAAGCAATAGAGTTAAGATAAAACTTATGGGATGAGAGAATGTGTTTGATAAAGGGTTACTAATTAGGAACACAAATAACTGAACAGCAGAAAACAACTAAACTGATTACAACCTGGGCAAAGCATGTGAGTAGTCATTTCTCAAAAGAAGGCATAAAAGTGTTCAACAGAGATGTGAAAAAATATTCAACATCACTATTTATTAGTGATATTCAAATTAAAACCACAATGAGATATCAACTCATGCCTGTTAAAATTTCTACTACTAAAAAGTCAGAAGACAAATGCTGTTGAGGGTGTGGAAGAAAGTGAACCCTGGCAAATGCTTGATGAGAATGCAAATTATCAGAGCCATTATGGAAAATAATGTAGAAATTTCTCAACAAATTAAAAATAAAATAGCCTATGATCCAGCCATACCCCTACTGGATATATATCCAAAGGAAATGTTGAAGAGATATCTGCACTCCCACGTTCATTTCAGCATTATTCACAATAGCCAAGATATGAAATCACCCTTAGTGTCTATTGATAAATGAATAAAGAAAATGTGTAAAATAACTAAATATGTAAACATTAAACAAACAAGCGTGTGCGCGCACACGCGCGCGCACACACACACACACACAAGAATGCTATTCAGTCTTTAAAAACAGAAGTCCTGTCATCTGTGACAATTTGCATGAAACTGGAGGATATTATATTAAATAAGTCAGGAGCAGAAGGAAAAATTCTGCATAAAGTCACTTATCTGTGGGCTCTGATATAGTTGAACTCATAGAAGAGTAAACTGTTTGTACCATGGACCTCAACCAGGCAGGGCTAGGGAGTTGGGGAAATGTTGGTCAAACAATACAAAATTATAGTTAGATAGGAGGAACAATTTCAAGAGCTATATTGTATAAAAGATGGTGACTATGTTTACAAAGATGTATGGCATTCTTTGGAGGGGGGGTTCCAACAGAAAGACTTTATTAAAGAAAAAGGAAAGATTAATTTTTTTTTTTTTTAGTTATGATGATAGAACACCAGAATACACTTCGGCATAATCACAAAAGCATGGAACACAGCCTGCTCTGATTCAGTCCTCAGCACTTTCCCATCACCCCCTATGCCCCTTCCTCCATTCCACCAATCCCTCTTTAATCCATTTACAAGTCATTTTTATTCCCTCACCCCCTTATGTTTGAATAGCTTCCACATACCAGAAAAAATATTCAACTTTTGACTTTTGGGGACTGGCTAATTTCACTTAGCATGATTTCTCCAGTTCCAACCATTTACTGGAAAATGCCATAATGTCATTCTTCTTTATGGCTGAGTAATACTCCATTGTGTATATGTATCACATTTTTCTTTCCCGATTCATCTGTTGAAGGCTACCTAGGTTTGTTCCATAGCATAGTTATTGTGAAATGTGCTACTATAAACATTGATGTGGCTGCATCATTGTAACATGCTGATTTTCAATCTTTTGAATATATACCAAGGACTGAGATGGCTAGGTCAAATGGTAATTCCATTCCTAGAATTTTGAGGAATCTCCATACTGCTTTCCAGAGTGGTTGCACTAATTTACAGTTCCATCAATAATGTATGGGTGTGCTTTTATTTCACACATTCTCACCAACATTTATTGTTAATTGTATTCTTGTTAATTTCCATCTGATTGGAATGAGATGAAATTTCAGTGTAGTTTTAATTTGCATTTCCCTAATTGTTAGAGATGTTGAATATTTTTTTCATATACTTGTTGACCATTCATATTTCTTCTTTTGAGACATGTCTAGTTAGTTCCTTTGCCCATTTATTGATTAGTTTTGTTTTCTTTTGGTGTTAAGTCTTTTGAGTTCTTTGTATATTATGGATATTAATACCCTGTATGAGGAGCAGGTGGCAAAGATTTACTCCCATTCTGTAGGTTATCTCTTCATGCTCTTAATTGGTTCCTTTGCTATGTAATTTGCTTTGTAATTTAATGCCATCCTATGTATTGATTTTTCATATTATTTCTTGCATTTTAGGAATCTTAAGGAAGTATGTTCCTGTGGTAACATGTTGGAATGTTAGGTCTACAATTTCTTCTAGCAGTTGCAGAGTTTCTGGTCTAATTCCTATGCCTTTGTCCATTTTTTTTTTGTACCAGGGATTGAACCCAGAGGTGCTTAACCACTGAATCACATCCCCAGCCCTTTTTTATATTTTATTTAGAGACAGGATCTCACTGAGTTGCTTAGGGCCTCATTAAGTTGCTGAGACTGGCCTCAAACTCATCATCCTCCTGCCTCAGCCTCCTAAGCCATTGTGATTATAGGCATGCACCCCAATGCCCCACTGTCTTTGTCCACTGTAAGTTGAATTTTGTGCAGGGTGAGAGATATGGGTTAAATTAAATTTCATTTTACTGCATATGGATTTCCAGCTTTCTTGGCATAATTTACATAAAAGGTTGTATTTCCTCAACGTATATTGTTGGCACCTTTGTCTAGTATGAGATAACTGTATTTATGTGAGTTTGTCTTCTGTGCCTTCTATTCTGTTGCATTGGACTTCATGTCTGTTTTGATGCCAGTACCATGCTGTTTTTGTTACTATAGCTTTGTAGATTAATTTGAAGTCTGGTATTGTGATGTATCTTGCTTCAGTTTTCTTGCTAAGGACTTCTTTGGCTATTCTGGGTCTCTCGTTTTCCCAAGTGAATTTTATAACTGCTTTTTCTAGTTCTGTGAAGAATGTCATTGGATTTTTGAGGGGAATGACTTTAAATCTCTACAGCACTTTTGATAGTATGGTTATTTTGATAATATTAATTCTGCCTATCTAGGAATATGGGAGGTCTTTCCATTTTCAAAGGTCTTCAAAGTCTTTCTTTAGTGTTCTCTAGTTTTCATTGTAAAGATCCTTCACCTCTTTTGTTATATTGATTCCCAAATATTTTATTTTTTGAGGCTATTGTGGATACGATAGTTTTCCTAATTTCTTTTTTAGCAGATTCATTATTGGATCCATCACTCAAATATGAGTGTTCATCTTGTATCCTGTTACTTTGCTGAATTCATTTATGAGCTCTATGGCATACTTAAAATTGCTGAGAGTAGATTTTAAGTGTTTTCATTACAAACATGATAAGTATGTGAGGCAATGCATATGTTGATTGGCTTAATGTAGTCATTTTATAAAGTATACATCAAATTAGTATATCTCAAAACATTGTACATGATACAGATACACATTTTTAAATATTTATTTCTTAGTCACAGTTGGACACAATACCTTTATTTATTTATTTATTTTTATGTTGTGCTGAGGATTGAACCCAGGGCCCTACATGTGTGAGGTGAGCACTCTACCACTGAGCCACAACCCCAGCCCAAGATACACACTTTTTGTCAGTTAAAATTAAAAAGTAATATTAACTTAATAAAACTCAAACAACTTTACACCTTAAGGAAATTTGAAAAGAGAACAAAATAAACCTAATTCAATGGAAAGAAAGAGATTAAAACAGATAAGTGAAAAGACAAACAGAAAAACAATGAGAAAAATTAATGAAATAAAAGTAGGTTCATTGAGAAGATCTATAAAGTTCACAAATTTTGGCTATATTGACAAAGAAAATGAGAGTAGACTCAAGTTATTAAAAGCAGAAATTAATGTGGAGATCTTACTGTCAATATTTACATAAATAAAAAGGATTATAAGGGATTACTATAAGCCACTGTACATCAATGAATTGGAGAGTATAAATGAAATGGAAAAATCACTAGGATTACAGAAAATACCAAAACTGACTCAAGAAAAAAATAAGAAATTGTAACAGAACTGTAACATATAAATCAATTAATTAAGCAAAACTCTCCCAACAATTCCAAGACCAGATGCCTTCACTATCAATCATTTAAAGAGCAATTAACATTTATCTTCCTTAAACTCTTCCAAAACTTAGAAGAGGAGAAAGCACTTTCTAATTCATATTGAGTCCAGCATTATCTTGATATCAAAACCAGACAAAGATATCACAAGAAAATTACAGACAAATATCTCTTGTGATTATAGATGCAAAAACTCAAAAAATTCTAGCAAATTATTTCAGCAGCATATGAAAGAAATTATACATCAGGGTAGAGTGAGATTTATCCCAGGATTCCAAGGATGGCTCAAAATACAAAGATAAATCAATGTAATATAGTACAATAATAGAAGTAAGGGAAAATATGTCACAATAATTTTAATTGATGGAGCAAAAGCATGTGAAAACACTCAAAACCTTTGTATGATAAAAACACATAACATGTTAGAAATAGAAAAGCGTTTTCTCAACCAGATAAAGGGCTTTGATGGGAAAAACACAGATAATATGGAATTACAAGGGCTGTGAAAAAACAAACATAATTCAAAGTGGAAGAGAGTTGAAGGACTCTCATTTCTGATTTCAAAACTTATTAAAAAGTCACAGTGATCAAAACAGTGGGGTATTGGCATAAAAACAGACATATAGCCAAATGGAATAGAATTGAGAGTACAGAAATAAACCCATATAACAATGGCCAAATGATTTTTGACAAGGATGCCATGGCCATTCAATGAGAAAGGAGAGTCTCTTCAACAAATTGTGGTATACCTTGGTATCTACATGAAGAAGAGTGATGTTGGAGCCTTTCTCACACTACAGATCAAAATCAATTCAAAATGGATCACTGACATAAATGTGAGAACTGAAACTATATACCTCTGTATGAGTCAGGTTCCCCTGAGAAACAAAACCTCTATACATATATCTTTTTTTTTTTAAATTTTTTATTGTTGGCTGTTCAAAACATTACATAGTTCTTGATATATCATATTTCACAATTTGATTCAAGTGGGTTATGAGCTCCCATTTTTACCCCATATACAGATTGCAGAATCACATCAGTTACACATCCATTGATTTACATATTGCCATACTAGTGTCTGTTGTATTCTGCTGCCTTTCCTATCCTCTACTATCCCCCCTCCCCTCCCCTCCCCTCCCCTCCCCTCCCCTCTTCTCTCTCTGCTCCCTCTACTGACATTCGTTTGTCCCCCTTATATTATTTTTCCCCTTCCCCTCACTTCCTCTTGTATGTACTTTTGTATAACCCTGAGGGTCTCCTTCCATTTCCATGCATTTTCCCTTCTCTCTCCCTTTCCCTCCCACCTCACATCCCTGTTTAATGTTAATCTTCTTCTCATGCTCTTCGACCCTACTCTGTTCTTAGTTACTCTCCTTATATCAAAGAAGACATTTGGCATTTGTTTTTTAGGGATTGGCTAGCTTCACTTAGCATAATCTGCTCTAATGCCATCCATTTCCCTGCAAATTCTATGATTTTGTCATATTTTAATGCAGAGTAATACTCCATTGTGTATAAATGCCACATTTTTTTATCCATTCATCCATTGAAGGGCATCTAGGTTGGTTCCACAGTCTAGCTATTGTGAATTGTGCTGCTATGAACATCGATGTAGCAGTGTCCCTGTAGCATGCTCTTTTTAGGTCTTTAGGGAATAGACCGAGAAGGGGAATAGCTGGGTCAAATGGTGGCTCCATTCCCAGCTTTCCAAGAAATCTCCATACTGCTTTCCAAATTGGCTGCACCAATTTGCAGTCCCACCAGCAATGTACAAGTGTACCCTTTTCCTCACATCCTCGCCAGCACTTGTTGTTGTTTGACTTCATAATGGCTGCCAATCTAACTGGAGTGAGATGGTATCTTAGGGTGGTTTTGATTTGCATTTCTCTGACTGCTAGAGATGGTGAGCATTTATTCATGTACTTGTTGATTGATTGTATGTCCTCCTCTGAGAAGTGTCTGTTCAGGTCCTTGGCCCATTTGTTGATTGGGTTGTTTGTTCTCTTATTGTCTAATTTTTTGAGTTCTTTGTATACTCTGGATATTAGGGCTCTATCTGAAGTGTGAGGAGTAAAGATTTGTTCCCAGGATGTAGGCTCTCTATTTACCTCTCTTATTGTATCTTTTGCTGAGAAAAAACTTTTTAGTTTGAGTAAGTCCCATTTGTTGATTCTAGTTATTAACTTTTGTGCTATGGGTGTCCTATTGAGGAATTTGGAGCCGGATCCCACAGTATGTAGATCGTAGCCAACTTCTTCTTCTATCAGACGGCATGTCTCTGATTTGATATCAAGCTCCTTGATCCATTTTGAATTCACTTTTGTGCATGGCGAGAGAAAGGGATTCAGTTTCATTTTGTTGCATATGGATTTCCAGTTTTCCCAGCACCATTTGTTGAAGATGCTATCCTTCCTCCATTGCATGCTTTTAGCCCCTTTATCAAATATAAGGTAGTTGTAGTTTTGTGGATTGGTTTCTGTGTCCTCTATTCTGTACCATTGGTCCACCCGCCTGTTTTGGTACCAGTACCATGCTGTTTTTGTTACTATTGCTCTGTAGTATAGTTTGAAGTCTGGTATCGCTATACCGCCTGATTCACACTTCCTGCTTAGCATTGTTTTTGCTATTCTGGGTCTTTTGTTTTTCCATATGAATTTCATGATGCTTTCTCTATTTCTACCAGAAATGCCGTTGGGATTTTGATTGGCATTGCATTAAACCTATAGAGAACTTTTGGTAATATCGCCATTTTGATGATGTTAGTTCTGCCTATCCATGAACAGGGTATATTTTTCCATCTTCTAAGATCTTCTTCTATTTCTCTCTTTAGGGTTCTGTAGTTTTCATTGTATAAGTCTTTCACCTCTTTTGTTAGGTTGATTCCCAAGTATTTTATTTTTTTTGAAGATATTGTGAATGGAGTGGTTGTCCTCATTTCCATTTCAGAGGATTTGTCGCTGATATACAGGAATGCCTTTGATTTATGCGTGTTGATTTTATATCCTGCCACTTTGCTGAATTCATTTATTAGCTCTAATAGTTTCTTTGTAGACCCTTTTGGGTCTGCTAGGTATAGAATCATGTCATCTGCAAATAGTGATAATTTAAGTTCTTCTTTTCCTATTTTGATGCCTTTAATTTCTTTCGTCTGTCTAATTGCTCTGGCCAGTGTTTCGAGAACTATGTTGAACAGAAGTGGTGAGAGAGGGCATCCCTGTCTTGTTCCAGATTTTAGAGGGAATGCCTTCAGTTTTTCTCCATTCAGAATGATGCTAGCCTGAGGCTTAGCATAGATTGCTTTTACAGTATTGAGGTATGTTCCTGTTATCCCTAGTTTTTCTAGAGTTTTGAACATAAAGGGATGCTGTACTTTGTCGAATGCTTTTTCCGCATCTATCGAGATGATCATATGATTCTTATTTTTAAGTCTATTGATGTGGTGAATAACATTTATTGATTTCCGTACATTGAACCAGCCTTGCATCCCAGGGATGAATCCTACTTGATCATGGTGCACAATTTTTTTGATAAGTTTTTGTATCCGAGTGGCCAGAATTTTATTGAGGACTTTTGCATCTAGGTTCATTAGAGATATTGGTCTGTAGTTTTCTTTCTTTGAAGTGTCTTTGTCTGGTTTAGGTATCAGGGTGATGTTGGCCTCGTAGAATGAATTTGGAAGTTCTCCCTCTTTTTCTATTTCCCTAAGTAGCTTGAAAAGTATTGGTATTAGTTCCTCTTTAAAGGTTTTGTAAAACTCTGCTGTATACCCATCCGGTCCTGGGCTTTTCTTAGTTGGTAGTCTTTTGATGGTTTCTTCTATTTCCTCAATTGATATTGGTCTGTTTAGGTTGTCTATATCCTCCTGACTCAATCTGGGCAGATCATATGACTTAAGAAATTTATCTATGCCTTCACTATCTTCTAATTTATTGGAGTATAAGGATTCAAAATAATTTTTGATTATCTTCTGTATTTCTGAAGTGTCTGTTGTGATATTGCCTCTTTCATCCCGTATGTTAGTAATTTGAGTTCTCTCTCTTCTTCTCTTCGCTAGCATGGCTAAGGGTCTGTCGATTTTGTTTATTTTTTCAAAGAACCAACTTTTAGTTTTGTCAATTTTTTCAATTGTTTCTTTTGTTTCGATTTCATTAATTTCAGCTCTGATTTTAATTATTTCTTGCCTTCTACTTCTTTTGCTGTTGTTTTGCTCTTCTTTTTCTAGGATTTTGAGATGAAGTATGAGATCATTTATTTGTTGGTTTTTTCTTTTTTTAAGGAATGAACTCCAAGCAATGAATTTTCCTCTTAGAACTGCTTTCAATGTGTCCCATAGATTCCGATGTGTTGTGTCTGTGTTTTCATTTATCTCTAAGAATTTTTTAATTTCTTCCTTGATGTCTTCTATAACCCATTGATCGTTCAGTAACCTATTGTTCATTCTCCAAGTGATGTATTCTTTTCCCTTCCTTCTTTTATCATTGATTTTCAGTTCCATTCCATTATGATCAGATAGGATGCATGGTATTATCTCTACTCCTTTATATTGTCTAAGAGTTTCCCTGTGACATAATATATGATCTATTTTTGAGAAGGATCCATGTGCTGCTGAGAAAAAAGTGTAACTGCTTGATGTTGGGTGGTATATTCTATATATGTCAATTAAGTCTAGGTTATTAATTGTGTTATTGAGTTCTATAGTTTCCTTATTCAACTTTTGTTTGGAAGATCTGTCCAGTGGTGATAGAGGTGTGTTGAAGTCTCCCATGATTATTGTATGGTGGTCTATTAGACTCTTGAACTTGAGAAGAGTTTGTTTGATGAACATAGCTGCACCATTGTTTGGGGCATATATATTTATGATTGTTATGTCTTGTTGGTGTATGGTTCCCTTGAGCAGTATGTAGTGTCCCTCTTTATCCCTTTTGATTAACTTTGGCTTGAAATCTATTTTATTTGATATGAGTATGGATACTCCTGCTTGTTTCCGAAGTCCATATGAGTGATATGATTTTTCCCAACCTTTCACCTTCAGCCTATGTATGTCTTTTCCTATCAAATGCGTCTCCTGTAGGCAGCATATTGTTGGGTCTTGTTTTGTGATCCATTCTACTAGCCTGTGTCTCTTGATTGGTGAGTTTAAGCCATTAACATTTAGGGTTATTATTGAGATATGGGTTGTTCTTCCAGCCATATTTGTTTATTTATGTTACTAAACATGGTTTGTTTTCCTCTTTGATTATTTTCCCCCCTTTAGTGTCCTACCTCCCACTGTTGGTTTTCATTGTTATTTTCCATTTCCTCTTCCTGTAATGTTTTGCCAAGGATGTTTTGAAGAGATGGTTTTCTAGCTGCAAATTCTTTTAACTTTTGTTTATCGTGGAAGGTTTTAATTTCATCTTCCATCCTGAAGCTTAATTTCGCTGGAAACACAATTCTTGGTTGGAACCCATTTTCTTTCAGTGTTTGAAATATGTTATTCCAGGATCTTCTAGCTTTCAGAGTCTGTGTTGAAAGATCAGCTGTTATCCTGATTGGCTTACCCCTAAATGTGATCTGCTTCCTTTCTCTTGTAGCTTTTAAAATTCTCTCCTTATTCTGTATGTTGGGCATCTTCATTATAATGTGTCTAGGTGTGGGTCTCTTATGATTTTGCACATTCGGCGTCCTGTAGGCTTCTAGGATTTGGGGTTCTGTCTCATTCTTCAAGTCTGGGAAGTTTTCTCGTATTATTTCATTGAATAGATTGCTCATTCCTTTGGTTTGAAACTCTGTCCCTTCCTGTATCCCAATGACTCTTAAATTTGGTCTCTTGATGTTATCCCATATTTCTTGGATGCTCTGCTCATGGTTTCTTAACAGTCTTGCTGAGCTGTCTATGTTCTTTTCAAGTTGAAATACTTTATCTTCATTGTCTGATGTTCTGTCTTCTAAGTGTTCTACTCTGCTGGTAGTATTCTCAATTGAGTTTTTAAGTTGGCTTATTGCTTCCTGCATTTCTAGGATTTCTGTTTGTTTTTCATTGTCTGATTTTGCTGTCTGATGTCTTCCTTGAGACTCCAGATCATCTGAAGCATGTATATCCTGAATTCTTTATCTGACATTCCATCTGCTGCAGCTATTACCTCTTCTAACGTTGAGTTGACCTGCAATGCTTGTGGTCCTTTCTTTCCTTGTCTCTTCATACTGTTCGCGTTCCTTTCTACTTGGTGAAACTGTTGTGCTATTGAATTTTCCCCCTATATATTTATATTGGTCTTGTATAGTTGCAAAGTCTCCCTCGCAGGCGAGGGCAGCGGCTCTGTCCCTCTGCGGGCCGCTAGGCTTGTTCTGTCGGTGGTCACAGTTCTGTCTACTTTGCAGGCGCAGGTAGCGGCACTGCCCCTCTGCAGGCCTCTGGGGCTGTACTGCCAGTGGGTCGCAGGTGCGCCTACCTTGCAGGCGCGGGGGGGGGCGGCTCTACCCTTCCTCAGGCCACTGGGCCTGTTCTGTCTCTCGGTTGCAGGTCTGGCCTGTTCTGATGGTGGTCACAGTTCCGTCTACCTTGCAGGCGCTGGGGGGAGGGGGCGGCTCTGCCTCTCAGCAGGCCGCTGCTCCTCTTCGGCCAGTGGGTCGCAGGCCCGCCTACCTTGCAGGAGTGATTGGAAGCTCTGTCCCGCCGCGGGCCCCTGGGCCTTTTCTGTCCGTGGTCACAGTTCCACCTACCTGGCAGGCGCGGGGGGTGGGGGGCGGCTCTGCCCCTCAGCAGGCCGCTGGGCCTGCTCTGTGCGTGGTCACAGTTCCCTCTACTTTGCCGGCGCAGGGGGAGGGGGCGGCTCAGCCTCTCAGCAGGCCGCTGCTCCTCTTCTGCCGGTGGGTAGCAGGCCCGCCTACCTTGCAGGAGTGATTGGAAGCTCTGTCCCACCGCGGGCCACTGGGCCTTTTCTGTCGGTGGTCACCTGGCAGGCGCGGGGGGTGGGGGGTGGCTCTGCCCCTCAGCAGGCCGCTGGGCCTGCTCTGTGCGTGGTCACAGTTCCCTCTACCTTGCCGGTGCAGGGGGAGGGGGCGGCTCTGCCTCTCAGCAGGCCGCTGCTCCTCTTCTGCCGGTGGGTCGCAGGCCCGCCTACCTTGCAGGAGTGATTGGAAGCTCTGTCCCGCCGCGGGCCACTGGGCCTTTTCTGTCCGTGGTCACAGTTCCACCTACCTGGCAGGCGCGGGGGGTGGGGGGCGGCTCTCTATACATATATCTTAAGGAATTGACTCATGCAACTATGGAAGTTAAGTCCACAATCTGTAAGGTGGACTGGCAAACTGGGTACTCAAAGAAGAGCCAATGTTACAGTTCAAGTGCAAAGACCAACAGGCTGGAGATTCAGAAAAGAGCTGGTGTTGTAGTTCAAGTCCCAAAGCCCATCTGCTACAGAATTTCCTCCTCTTCAGGGGAAGTCAGTCTTGTTCTAATTAGGCCTTCAGCTGGTTGGATGAGGTACACTGATATATTGGAGGGCAATCTGGTTTACTCAGAGTTCACCAATTTAACCTCATCCTAAAATACCCCCATAGAAACCACCAGAATAATTTCTTTGTTTGTTTTTTGTTAGTTTTTTGGGTCTAGGGATTGAACCCAGAGGTGCTTTACCACTAATCTACATCCCCAGCCCTTTTTATTTTTTTATTTGGAAACAGAGTCTCACTAAGTTTCCTAGGGCCTTGCTAATTTGCCAAGGCAGGCCTTGAACTTGCAACCCTTCTACCTCAGCCTTCCAAGTCTCTGGGATTACAGAAGTGTGCCATGCTGCCTGGCCAGAATAATGTGGGTTTTTTTAATATTTAATTTTTAGTTGTAGTTTGACACAATACCTTTATTTTATTTATTTTTACATGGTGATAAGGATCGAACCCAGGGCCCCGCATGTGCTAGGCAAGTGTTCCACCACTGAGCCACACCCCCAGCCCCAGAACAATGTTTGATTACATATCTGGGCACTGTGGTCTAATCCTATTGACACATAAAATTAACCAGCATAGGCTTGTAGAAGATAATATAGTGATGCATCTTTATCACTTTGTATTTGGCTTTGACTTATTAGATATGATACCTACAGTACAAGTAAATAAAGAAAAAAATAAGTAAATCATACTTTGAAGTTAAAAATCTGCATTGATACATGATCAGGAAAGTGAAAAGATAACATACAGAGTAGGAGAAAATATTTTCAATTCATATATCCAATAAGTCTTTTCCCCAGGATATATTAAGAATGATTTTAATTCAACAACAAAAATATAAAAAACCTAGTTAAAATTGGCAAAAGACTTGAATTTTTCCAAAGATGATATATAAAAGACCAGTGAGCACATGAAAAAAAATCAACATCATTAGTCATCAGGGAAATACACAATGTGATACAAAACAACTTCCACTATGGTGGATATAAAAAAAGAAAATATGTGCTGATGAGGATCTGGAAAATTGGAACTTTATGCATTGCTGATGGGAATATCAAATGGCACAGCTGCTGTGAAAAGTAGAATGGTGGTTCCTCAAAAAGTTAAACATATGATTACCATATGACTCAGCATTTCCACTCCTAGATATATATCCAAGAGAATTGAAAATGGGCACTTGAACAAATACTTGTGCATTAGTTCGTAGCACATAAAAGTGGGAAACAGTCCAAATTTTCATCAGTGGATGAATGAATAAACAAATGTGGTATATTCACATAATGAATTGTTATTTACACATAAAAAGATTGAAACACAGAAACTTGCTAAAATGTGCATGAACTTTGACAATATTATGCTAACTGAAATAAGGGGAAAAGTCACATGTTGAATTATTCCTTGAAATATCCAAATTATGTAACTATATAGAGATAGAAAGAAGAATGGTCATTGTCAATGGGCTACAGAGAGCAGAAAAATGGATATATGTGTTCAATTGATAGAGGGATTTCTTTTAAGGGGATAAAGATGTTTTCAAACTTGTTATTCACACAACATTGTAGATTTACTAAATGCTACTAAACTGTAAACCTAAAATGATTAATGTGCAAATCTTAATAAAATTTTTAAAAAATGGAACCAAGTGAAATTGGATTTATTGTGTGTCCTGCTCATTTGCTTGCCTTTATTATATACATTTTATGGCCCAGAAAATTCTCCTTTTTATTTTCTCTCCCTTCCATTAGGATTAGATTGATGAGGAAAAATCAAAGTAGTTGTGAGTTTCTTTCTCAGCCTTTCTTTCCAGGTCAAAGATGTTTTTGATAAGAGGGGAGGGGCCCAGTGGAATCACTGATCTCAGTGAAAATATAATTACATTGACTGAATAAAGCTGGTGAATGGAGTTGAGGGAAGAAACAAAATACAGGACGGAAAAAAAATTTGTCTTGAGCAAATGTGTTTATGAAGTTGTCACTTAAGTACATGGGAAAGGCTGGGAATAAAGGATAGGTTTGGTGACCAAAAGTCTTGAGTCCTCTTTGGCCTTGTTAAATTTGAGATACTTATAAATCAATAGAGATGTTAAATATACAATTAAGTATATGACGTATCTACTGCCTTTAGGGAGGAGGTTTAACTTCCAGAACTCGGTCTTTAACACTTTGATTAGCTCTTAGCTTCTGAAATCATTTATTCATCAGCCTGTCAGTCAGCATGCAGCAGATATTGGGTTAGGCCACTGGAATACATAAAGACACAGTCTGTGTCCTTGAAGATTTAATGGTAGAGTGGGGGGAGAGGTACATAAAAGTGCCAATTATAGAAGAGCATGTCACAGACTACAAAAAGTTGAAGTACAAAGTGTGTTGAGGCATAGGGGAAGGAACAATTAATTGTGTCTCTAGGAGTCTGGCAAGAATTCACAGAAGAGGTGACATTTGTGCACAACAGAAGCTTTTCTAGGACAATGCTCTCTTCACCTGTAATGTATAGTAAAATTACAGAGGAATCCTATGTAAAACAGAAGTTATAGATATAACCTTTGTTATAAAGGATGAATTAAGAAGATTACCCAAATTTCTGCTATTGTATTGATAAATTGTACTGAGAATTTATGACTCTTAAAATCAAAGTCATAAATATTCAATTCTTCAAAACCTCTATCCCACAGCCCCTGCCTTTCACTCTGTTCCCAAGTACAACACCTATGGTGTACAACGCCCTCCTCACATGGGCTGTGAGTATGGGTGATTACACTGATCTCCTCTGTTCAGTGTTAAGTGTTAGGGGTTTCACCATCCCCATAACCCTAGGGTGTGAATCCCTCCATAATCAATGGGATGAATAGGGGGCTGTTGAAACACCCACACACAGGAAACCTGATCCAGCTTAGTCCAGCCTCTAGTAGCCACAACTCCAACTGAGTCTCCCATGGTATCCGAGACACATCTATTCTGGACGAGTCCTTAGATATCAGACTTGTCCAAAGGCTACCTAGCCAGTTCAATTCTACAAGCAAACGCTGCACATCTATTGTGTGTTGACCTTATTTTACTAAGCACTGAGTATAAGGATGAATCGGACATCTTCAAGGTGACAGATATGTAACCAATATTTTTCATACAACACAGTAAAGGGCTCAGGGAGAGTTATGTAGGATGAAGTGGGACCAAAGGGAATTTTCTGAAAGAGAGATCATTTGAAGAACATAAATACCACAAGGAAGAAGATAAGGTCAGTTTGGGAGGTAGTTCAGAGAAAGACTATGAGGATCAAGTTTGCAGAACCTATGAGTGTGACTCTAAGAAGCAGCTTGGTAAGCAGAGCACTTTCTCCCTCATCTGACCCATCTATCTTATCTCATTTATTTATTAATGTAAAGATGTTTTGAATACTCACTGTATGCTAGTCAACATTCCAGTTGCTGGAACTCACATCTAGTAGGGAGAAATAAACAAACATTTAAGAAAAGCTCAGGTTAGGATTTAAGCAATGATTGAAATAAATTTAATGATGCTATAGAGAAATTAGTTTGGGGGACACAAATTTAGATAGATTTCTCATGGAAGGATTTCTGGTTAATTTGAGCTGTGTAAATGATAAATGACGTATTAATGGTAAGTAACAAAAATCTATTATTATTTTACATAGATCTGGGGTTTGATTTGGCCTAATTAGCTCTTCCAGCTTCTCTTGGTATTTCTATGTTGTTTCTCCAGCATAATAGTTTCTGCATAGCTGGACTTTTTACATGGTGGGACAGAGTTCCAAGGAACATGTCCCTAGACAAAGACACATAAAACCTTTCATATTTTTCCAGGACTAACCATAGAAGTCACACAGTGACACTTTTTTTTTTTTTTGCTATTCATTGAGGCAGTCTCAAAGAGCCACCAAATTTTGAATGGACGTGGACTCTTCTTCTTGATAGTAAAATTGTCAAAGAATTTGAAAACATTTTTTAAAACACCCTGGATGGACCACTGAGAAATAGTGAATCAGGCTGTGAGAAATCTAGGAGAAGAACGTCAAGTTAAAATAAAATGGAGACTCAAGCCCCAAAGGCAAGAAAGGAACAGAAAGGAGGCCATTGTTCCTATATTGTAGCAGGTATAAAGGAGAATAGAATGGTTTGAAGCAGATGGGGGACTTGGTTACATAGTCTATGAAAACAATGTGGATGTTATTCAAATACAAGGGAGAACCAATCAAGAGTTTTAAGCAATAAAATGACATAATAGGATTACATATACACACACAGTATTAGTATTGGTATTTATCTTTCTGTACCAGGTGTATTTCACATAGCACAATGACCTCCAGGCTCATCCAGATTATATTTACTTCTGTAATAAATAGTATATGGCATACATAAATTAAGAAATAAAACAAACACTTTGTATTCATTACCCACCTTGAGAAATAGAACACTGTGGGCTAGGGTTGTAGCTCAGAGGCAGAGCGCTTGCCTACCAGGTGTGAGGCACTGGGTTCAATTCTCAGCACCACATATAAAAAATAAAATAAATAAAGGTCCATTAACAACTGAAAAATTAAAAAAAAAAAAGAATAGGACACTGTAAGTAACCTTAAAGCATTCTGAGCACTCTTTATCTATTACATTTCCAATTTCCCAGAAGAAATCACTAACCTGATTTGTATGTTAATCATCATTTTGTTTTTCCTTTACAGGTTTACCATGTACATATGTATCCCTAAACAATTTATTGTCTTGGTTTGCCTATTTTTTGACATTTATCAACATGGAATCATAATCTGTGCTGTATGTATTCTGACTTGCCCTTTTTGCTTTACATTATTTTTACCACCATTATTGAGGTACAATTCATATGCAGTAAAATGCACCCATCTTTAAGTGTACAGCTAGGTGAACTTTTGAAAATGTAAGAACTCATGCAACAAGCAGCACAACTAAGATACAAACATTTGCATTATTCAAAAAAGTTCAGTCATGCCCCTTCCCAGGCAGTGTTTACCTCTGATTTCTGGTCCTTGGCAATCATCAATTGCTTTTTCTAGCCATAGATTAGAATTTTATTTTTTAGAATTCCAGATATCTAGGATCAAATGATAATATTCTGTCTTCTTCACTCTACCTGAAGATTTTATATTTATTCATACTACATGACTTAGTAAAATGTTCCTTTTTTATTGCTAGGTACTAATCCATTGTTTAAACAAAGCAAAATATGCTTAATATTCACGTATTGATTGGCACTTGATCAGTTTCAAGTTCCTGGCTATTTTGAATAAAGCTGATGATGATACTCACAAATAGCCAGGCGTGGTGGCACATACCTATAATCCCAGCCATCCAGGAGGCAGAGGTAGGAGGATCATAAGTTTGAGATCATCCTGGGAACTTATTGAGACCCTGTCTCAAAACAAAAAATTTAAAAAGAACTGGGAAATAGCTCTGTGACAGAGTGCTTGCCTAGCGTGGATCAGGCCCTGCCTTCAATCCCCAGTGCTGAAAAAACTCTCATGAACAAATCATGAGTTAGATATAGGATTTTATTTTTCAAAATTTGATTATTTATATCATCATTGGACTGGAAGAGTTTTAAAATTCATTCTGAATACACACCATTTAATATGTATCTTGAAGATATGTTATTCCAGTCTGTGACTTGCATTTTCATTTTCTTAATGGGATCTTTTGAAGAGCAGAGGTTTTGCTTTTGAAGAATCCCAGGGGTTGTTTTTGTTTGTTTGTTTGTTTTCTACTTTACATTTTTTGCTTTTGGTGTCTTAGAGAATTTTCACCTGTACCAATGTTGTCCACATTTGCATATTACATTTTCTTCAACAAGTTTTAGAGTTTTACCTTTTACATTTAGGTCCATGATCGATTGTGAATTAATTTTTGTGTATGGTAAGAGGTAATGGTCAAGATTCAGTTTTTCCCAGACAGACACAGTTAACTCTAGAATGACTCATTAAACAGACTATCATTTCCCTATTGAATTAACTTAATACTATGGTTGAAAATCAATTTACTCTACACATGTAAGTCTATTTTTGGATTCTATTTTGTTCTACCATATGCCACTATCACACTGTATGATAATCTTTTTAGTATGTCTTCAAATTGGGTAGTATAAGTCCTATAATTTTGTTCTTACTTTTACAAGATTGTTTTGGCTATTTCAGATTTTTTGCCTTTCTACATACATTTTAGAATTTTGCTTGCAAATTTCTGCAAATGTAATTCCTGAGATTTTGGTCAGAATTGAGTTGAATATTTAAATCAAGTTTGGAGAAATTGATATTCTGACAATATTGAGTCTTTCAATGCAAGAATATGGTTTATCTATCTATCTATTTATTTATTTATTTATTGTTCTCTGAGCAGTGTTTTTTTTTGTTTTGAGTTTTCAGATTGTATACATATTCAGTTAAACTTACCCCTAAGTGTTTCACATTTTTTCATGCTAGTTAAAATGACATTTAAAATTCCAATTTACAATTGTTTATTGAAAAATATGGAAATAAAATTTACTTTTCATGCTGATCTTATACCCTTTGACTTCTGTTAAATTCACTTCTAATTTTTATTTATTTAACATTGTAGATATTTTCTACATATAAAACCATGTGATCTATAAATAGTTTTGTTCTTTATTTTCTTGTCTGCATTCTATTCATTTATTTACTTTTTATTTATTGTTTTTATCAAACTGTTAGGAATTCCAGCACAATGCTGAATATGAGTGGGGGTGGTGGTTGTCATAATTGCCTTATTCTTGATCTAGAGGGAAGGAATATTTAGTCTCTCACAATATTTAATTATGATGTTGATGGTGGTTTTTAAAAAATAGATGCACTTTCCTAACATCATAGTCTAATTCTAATTTGAATCTTTTATTGGATGTTGAATTTTGCCACGTAATTTTTCTGGGTCCCTTGAGATAACCACATGGTTATCTTTTATATGTACTTAATATGGTAAATTACAGTATTTTTAATGGTAAGTCAATCTCATAATATTGGGATAAACTTCATTTAGTCATGAAACGTTATTGGTTTTTATATATTGCTTAGTTTGCTTTGCTAAAATCTTTTTAACATTTTGTTCATGAGGGAAATTGGTTGGTAGTTTACTTTTTATTATGACTATATCTGGTTTGATTCAGTTTAAGAGAGACCTCATAAAAATCAGAGTGCTTGTGTAGAACTGGTATGAATTCTTCCTTAAATCAGCAACAAAGCCACCTCATCCTGGAGTTTTCTTTCTCCCTCTCTTCCCTCCCCTGCCTTCCTATCTCTTCTCTTTCTCTCCTTGTGGTATTGGGGATTGGATCCAGACATCATTACCCTAAGTACATGTATGAAGACATCTCCAGCCCTTTCTAAAAGTTTGTTTTGAGACAGGGTCATGGTAAACTGCCCTGACTGGCCTGGAACTTGTGATCCTCCTACCTCAACCTCCCAAGTTGTTGGGATTACAGGCATGCACCACGCCCAGATTTTTTTTATTATTGATTTTTTTCACTTTATTTTGACTATTCATTCTGATCATTGACAATATACTGAAACTTATTTTGTGGCCAAATACCTTGTCTATCTTTGTGAAAATTTTGTAGGTACTTCAAAAGAACATGTATTCTAATGCTGTTGGGTGTATTCTTCTATAAATGTCAATTAGGTCAAGTTGGTTGATAGTGTTTTCCAGATTTTCTATATCTTACTGATTTTTCTATTTTATCAGTTGTAGAGGGAGGATTGTTAAATCTCTGGCTGTAATTGTCTAACTTCAGAAAATTATGAAGAATTGTGTATTTCTTTTTCCATTTTTATTTGCTTTATGCATTTTTAAAGGTTCTACATTGAGTGCATAAACATTGAAGAATGTTTTGTATTTCTGAAATTAACTATTTCATCATTATAAAATATCATTTGATTGTGGAGGAAAGCAGCTGCAGGCTCATCTACATTGTCACAAATAATAATATCACTACACACACATTCTCTTTTTAAGGCTGAATAGAATTCTATTGTGAAGATTTACCACGTTTTCTTTATCCATTCACCTGATGACAGATACCTAGTTTGCTTCCATATCTTAGCTATTGTGAATAACGTTGCAGTGAACACAGGAATGTATATATCTCTTAAGCACACTGATTTCAATTCTTCTAGATATATACCCAAAAGTGGAGTTATTGGATCATAGGGCAATTCCCTTTTGTTTTTCTTTTCCTTCCTTTCTTTTTTTTTTTGAGAAAACTCCATATTGTTTTCCATAATGGTGTATTAATTTGTAGTCTTACTAACAGTGAAAATATTTCCTTTTGTTTATACACTCACTGACACTTGTTATCTTTTGTCTTTTTCTTCTTTTGCTTTTGATAATAACCATTCTAGCAAATATGAGGCAATATCTGATTGTGGTTTTAATTTTTATTTCCCTGATAATTAGTGTTATGGTTTGGATGTGAAGTGCCCCCCCCCAAAGCTCATGTGAGACAATGCAAGAAGGTTTAGAGGAGAAATTATTGAGTTATGAGAGTCTTAACCCAAATGATGAATTAATCACCATTAATTGAGTGGTAATTGAAGTCAGGTGGGGCGTGGCTGGGGGAGGTGGGACATTGGGGGCATGGCTTTGAGTATATATTTGTATCTGGAAAGTGAAGATCTCTCTCTCTCTCTCTTTGTTTCCTGATCATCATGTGAGCCACTTCCCTCTACCACACTCTTCCACCATGGTGTCCTGCCTCACCTAGAGCCCCAAGGAACGGAGCCTGCTGCCTATGGATTGAGACCTCTGAAACTGTGAGTATCCAGATAAATTTTTCCTCCTCTACAATTGTGCTAGTCGGGTCTTTAAGTCACAGTCACAAAAAAGCTGACAAAAACAATCAGTGATAATGAGCATTATTATACAAATGTTGTTAATTCATATATATTTTTCAGATGTGGCTATTTAGATTCTTTGCCAATTTTTTAATTTGATTATTTGTTTTCTTGCTCTCTGAATTGTTTGAGTTCCTTATATATTTTTTAATATTAGCTCCTTATCAGGTGTATGGTTTTCAAATATTTTCTCCCATTTCCTGGGTTGCCATTTTACTCTGCTAATGTTTTATTTGCTACACAGAAAGTTTGTAGTTTGATATCATCCCATTTCTTAATTTTTAGCTTCCATTTACTGTGTTTTGGGGGTCATATCCAAGCAATCACTGCCCAGACCAATATCATGAAACTTTTCCTCTATGCTTTCTTTTAGGACCTTTGTAGTTTCAGGTCTTACATTTAAATTTATAATCCATTTTGAAAAGATTTCTGTGTACAGTGTGAGATAAGGATCCAATTTCATTCTTCTGCCTATGGTTATCCAGTTTTCTCAATATCATTTATTGAAAAGACTGTCCTGTCCTCATTGTGTGGTCTTGGTCCCTTTGTTAAAACTCAGCCCACCATACATGCTTGACTTTATTTCTGGGCTATTTAGCCTATTCAATGTGTCTGTTTTTATGCCAGTATTTTGATTGCTATTTTGATTACTATAGCTTTGTAATAGATTTTGAAGTCAGGCACTAAGTTTTGTTCTTTTAGGTTGAAATTGCTTTGACTATTTGAGGTTTTCTGTGTTTCCATACAAATTTTAAGGTAGATTTTCTATTTATGTGAAGATTGATTTTGGAACTGTATTGAATTCATCAATGGCTTTGAGTAGTATGTACATTTTGGCAATATTAATTCTTATCTATGAACATAAGATATCTTTCCATTTATTTGTGTTATCTTCAATTTCTTTCATCAATGTTTTATTGTTTCTAGTAAACATACCTTTCACTTCTTTGGCTAAATTTACTCCTAATATTTCATTTTTTGGTGTGATCGTAAATGGAATTGTTTTCTTAATTTGTTTTTTTTTTGGTAATTTGTTGTTAGTATATAGAAATGATACTGATTTTTGTCTTGGTTTACTATCTTGCAACTTTACTGACTTTGTTTATAAATTCTAATAATTATTGGTAGAGTCTTTAAGATTTTCTATATGTAAGATCACATTGCCAGAACAGAGAGTCAATTTTACTTCTTCCTTTCCCATTTGTGTTCCTTTCATTCCTTTTTCTTGTCTAATTGCTCTACCTAACTTTCATTTACTGATTAAATCTTTTTACTTATTAAAGGTCTGTTAGTCACTGGAAGAGGGTCCAAACAGTTCCTTGAGAGGGGGGAAACTCAACTCAGGACAAGTGAGATCCTTGGTATATGTGACAGAAAAGAATTTGAGTATGTGCCAGTCAGAGACATGGGTAGAGTTTTATTTAAGAAAGCAAATACACATTCAAGGGAGAATGTAGACTATCTCAAGAGAGATGCACTTTGGGAATAAAGCAAACACTTATGCAAGGGAGAATTCTGGTCATCTAGAAAGTGAGAGATGCTTCTGGGATTTTCAGGCTCTTCTTTTAAAGGAAACTTGGTGAGCAGTGGTCATGGGAAGGTATGTGAATATGACATCAGTCTGTTTGTTCTCAGGATCCTTAGAGTGATGTGGTCCCAATTATCTAACAGATAGGTAACATTGGAAAATCCCCTAAATTATAGGCTTTTAAAAATATTATATGTGTCTTTGCTTAATCTATTTATTGGTGGCCTAAGTAACAGTCCATAAGGTAATTATCATAATTTATAGTAACTTTAAGTATCATGAATTTATAGTAACTTTAAGATTATAGATTTCTGAGAAATTGGAGAGTTATAGGAGACATTTATGGGAGACAGATTGTCTTGGGGAGTGAGAGGCCTGGAAAGGTATCTGGAAATTTAAATTAATGTTATATTTCCTTGTCCTTCCTTTTGCTGCCTTTCTATCTTTTATTTCTTTTATCTCATGTTCAGAATTTCTATTTCTTTTTTCTTGCATTATATATTTTTCCAATTTTTAATTTGTTTTTAGATATACATGATAGTATGGTATATTTTGACATATTATACTTACATGAGGTTTGTTTGTTCTTTCTATCCAGTTTTACCTCTACTTTTTAGTAATTGCTTTAAAGTCCTTGTTCTCAAAACATGGTTTCATAGATTAGTTGCAATAATAATACCCAAATACATTTTAGAAATGTAAATTCAAAGACCTCTCTCATCCCAGGGGCACTTTACCACTGAACTACATCCCCAGCCCTCTTTATTTTTTATTTTGAGACAGAGTCTCTCAAAGTTGTGTAGTCTGGCCTCAAACCTGTGTTCCTCCTGCCTTAGCCTCTTGGGCTGCTGGGACTACAAACCTGCACCACCATGCCAGATCTCATCATTCTGATTTTTAACAAACTCTCCAAGTGATTCTGATAAATCAAAATTTTGAGAGAGTTGATGATCTAGTTTACAATATAAGGATACAACCTACCACTCTACTTTCAAATGATACTACGACTTCATGTAAAATGGCAGTACTTTACAATATACTTCTATTTCCCCACTTCCATCTTTTGTACTATTTCTGCAATCCATTTTAATTTTAGATATGCTTTCAGCTCCATAATACATTGTTGCTTTTGCTTATGTAGACAACTCTATTTTAAAGACATTAAAAGGAAGAAAAAAGCATTTACATTTTTCTCATATGTTTGTAATTTTCTGCCCTCTACATTCATTTGTGTAGATTAATGATTGTCAGGTGGTGATTTATCCACTTCCACAGAAACATTAGGCAATGTTTGGAGATATTTTTGGTAGTCACAACTGGAAGGTAATGGTAGCACCTAGTGTGTACATGCAAGGGATACTGCCAAATAAATGGGACAGTTCACAGGACAGCCCACAATAACAAAGAATTACCTGGCTGAAAATGCCCATTCTTTAGAAAATCCTGATGTAGATCAAAGGCTCCATTTCATATTATTTCCTTCCTCCTGAAGAAATTTCTTTATTGTTTCTTTCAGTGCCTATCTGCTAGTGATGAATTTTCTTCCAGGTTTTCTTTGTCTGAAAAGATTTTTACTTCTCAACCATATTTACAGATATTTTTGCTACTTATAGAATTCCCAGTTAACTGTTAGATTTTTCTCTCAGGGCTGTAAAAATATTCTACTGTTTTCTGATGTACATAGTTTCTAATAGGAAGGCTATGATCATTATTATCATTGTTCCTATGTACTTAATAGATTTTTATTCTGTGACTGTTTTTAAATTTGTTATTTATTTATAGTTTTCAGGAATTTTATTTTAATGTGGCTTGGTGTGGTTTTCTTTGTGTTTATACTACTTGAGTTTAGACTACTGGAGTTATGGTATCATATATTTCATCAAATTTAGTAAACTTTTAACTATGTTTTAGTCAAATATTTTTCATTGTTTTGTTCTAGGACTTCAGTTACATTTATTTTCCATTATTTATGTCAACAAAGCTCTGTTTGTTAGTCTTTTGATTTCTCTGTTTCATTTTGATAATTTTCTATTGCTATTTTTCAAGTTTACTGATCATATCTTTTGCAGTGTCTAATATGCTCTTTTTTTTCTAATATGCTCTTAATCACATTCAATGAGTTACTTCTTTTGGATATCATTTTTATCACCAAAAGTTTATTTTCATTATATTTTTAAATTGAATTTTTCTCATCACCATGTTCATAGTTTCCTTAGAATATTTGAACATTGCTTATAAATTGCTATCACCTGCTAGACCCATTGCATTTGTCATTTATGAGTTTATTTTTATTGACTGATTTTTTCTTTACTGTAAATTACATTTTCATGCATTTGAGCTTCTTCACTACATTTCAATATGATGTTAGATGTTTAAAATTTTATGCTGTAGCTGGGCCCTTAGTACACTCCTGTACCTGTAAATTTCAGTGACTCAGGAGGCTGAGGCAGGAGGATTGCAAGTTTGGGGCCAGCCTCAGCAACTTAGCAAGACCCTCAGCAACTTAGTGAGACCCTGTCTCAAAATAAAAAATAAAAAGGTCTGGGGATGCAAATCAGTGCTAACGTGCCCCTGGGTTAAATCCTCCGCACCAAAAAAAGGTTTTTTTCATACTGTAGAGTGTTGGAATTTTGCTGTCTTCTTTAAGGAGTGTTGAGCTTTTTTCTGGCAGTAGTTTAGTTACTTGCTTACTTTGAAATATTTGAGGTTTGCTTTCATGCTTCCGTAGTGCAAGATTAGAATATCCTTTATTCTGATGAGAATTTAGCCACATCACTAAGGCATGGTCCTTTTATGGGCTCTTCTGCATGTTCTGAGTGATTTTCAAGGACTCTTCATTCTTTCTACTCATATCTGTAATGTCATTCAAACTGGTATGAGATTTGTCTCTTTTTTACCCCGTCTCTTGAAGTTCCACTCTTTGCATGCATGTCTTCATTTTCAGCATAAACTCACAAGGGGATCTCTGCAAATTTCTAGAGTCCCTGTTTGCATTCTTATGGAATTGTGACCTGCAGTTTCTAGTTGTGTCAGTATTCCTCAACTCTGATCTCTCTCTTTCTTCAACTTGGCCAAACTACAACACCCTGCTTTGAATAACCCTTCCTGTTCCAGGTTCAGAATGCCTGTGCAATTTTGAGGTTCACCTCACCTTTAAATTTTCATTCATGGATCACAGTTTCCTTCTGCCTATTTTCTAATGCCTGAAACCTGCTGTTTTGTATATTTTCATAGATTTTCTATTTATTTATGATAAGAGGAAAAATCTCTTCAATGTTAAATTTATCATGACTGTAGATGAATATTATCAACATTAAGTTTTTTAGATCAATCTATATCACTATTTATAATTTTAGTTAATTTTTACCTCTGTGAAGTATTCCAATATACA